GAGTCAAACCAGTGTTTGCGTGGAAAATCTCATTGTTCGTACGGGAATGCCTTTGTGAACCGCTGCTGCCCGCGAGGCTCAGCCCCGTGTATGGCGGGGTTTTCCAGAGGGAAAGGGCTCCCCGTGCTGACTGCGGGTGTCCATGTCCAACCCACCTCCCTTTAGTTCTGCAGCGTGCCGGAGGACCACACCTTGCACCCGGTCCTTCTGCCGCGGACTGGATGAGCTGGTGCCCGGAATTAGGGGATGCTCAGCACCGGGCGGATTCAGGTGGGAGAAATGAGGGCAGCTTGGTGCTCGGTAACATACCTGAGCAGAGAGAAGAAGAGAAAGAAGTGCTACCAGGGCAGAAGTGAGAGCTGGGAATGGGAGAACGGCCGGAGAAAAGTGAGGACAGCAGGGACTGGCAAGAGGGGTTGCACCAGCAGCAAGAATCCAGCGAAAATGCTGCTTTAGGTTTTTCCAAAAGCACTATATTTTTTTTTTATATACTTTGAAATCAATTCACTTCCCATGTGCTCAAACTCTTCAAGAGTTTCAGCTCTGGGGAACCCATTTGTAGCTGGGAATGCACATCTGAGAGAAGAAATGGTGAGCTGGTGGTTTGCTGGAGGAGTGATTAATTCCTCTCCGCACGGCGGAGCGGTGGGAAGCCGTACCCGAAAGTGGAAGCGCACGCGTGAGTCTGCTCTGGGCAGCTCTGGCAAAGCCTAGAAGATGACAGGTTCCATGTAGAGATGGGGTCTGCTCGGTGCCTTCCGCTGTGTTATCCCCTCCCAAGTTGGTGGAGGACAATTGTGAATTTACAGAGAGAGGAAAAACAAAGAGAGACTGAATGGGCTGTAGCTTATTTTGGATTTTTTTCAGGGCTTGGGAAGGTGGAGCAGTTGCTTGCGGGGGCGGTGGTGGGACTGGAGCTGTCAGAGTCGGGGAGCAGGGTCCCCACACTCCCAAAGGGAGGAAGAAGGTGGGAGCGTGCCCGTCCATCCCAGCTGATGACTCAGCCCCGCTGAAGCAATGCCATGGCTCCGAAGCGAGAGCCGGAGGGTTTTTTCTGCTTCCAGCAATATTTAGGATGAACTTAAGGAAGCATATTTTAAAACCCACTGAATGGAGAAAGTGAACGTCTCTCTTCCTCTCCCCCCCAGAAATAACAGACTGCAAGGATTTATGCTAACAAGGAAATTTATGAAGATCCTGTGTGTTAGGAGTAGGAAAAAAAAAAAAAGCCTATTAAATGTGTAAGGCGGATATGTGTGGAAACTGGGCAAACATAGGCCTTTCCAGACTGGGGGAGA